GACATGAACTTGACCCTCCTCAAACCCGATTTGACCTGGCCCGACTGCTGACCTGATTAGCTGGCAAGGGTGACCAAGCGCAGGCGATCGAGTGGGGCTTGTAGGCTAGCACAACGAGCGGTAAGGAAGACGAACACGACAGAAGACGAGCATGGGTTGCTTACGGGTTTTCGGGTTAACCCGAACTCGACTCGAGTTAGCAAATATCAGATCAGAATTTGAACCTGAAACTGACCCATTTTCCAAACAGGTTAAACTGAACCCGAATTTTCCTGGATTGGTTCGAGTCAGAATTTTGGGTCGTATCAAATATTGACACTCCTAATATCAACAAAGAATGACATATGCTGGTTTGATGAAGGATGACAGAGAACGTCTAGTGTAAGATGGATAGTATCATAAGTTATTTGATCAAAAAATTATGAGAGGTCGAATGATAAATACTTTGTGTTGTAGAAGGGGGAGACAATATCATTGGGAGTTCAACATTAATTGATTGAAGGCATCAAGTGTCTTCTATTATAAAGAGGGTGTTGATCAGGGATTATCAACATTAATCATTGATTTTGAGAATGGATGATGATGCACATATAGTGTTAAATGTTTGTGGAGTTTGATTTTGATGAATATTGGTTGACTACAAACATTGTCTGACATTGATTACAAAAAAGGCCGATTTCAATGAAAGATGTCAACAATCCTCTTTGTCCAATAATCGATAAGGACTAGCAGAAAGAGAGTTAATAAAGTCCAACCTCTAGTTAGTGGAAGGACATTAATTTGTCATAAGCATAGCTAGTGGCTTCACTTATGAAGAAGTCTTTAGTAGAGCTGGCAACTATAACATTTCTTAGTAAAATCCTTGACATAAAATCCTTGACATCTAACTTAAGTTTTCATCTACAATCACCCCTATTATAGATTCTTTTTGGCAAGCATTTGACTAGTGGAGTGATTTCCATGCTTATCACATAAATCTCTTTTAAGGGTTTCATATGCTTTTGTAGGGAGCAAGCATCTATGGTTGATTTCAAATAAACACACTTAGTATAAGTCTCTCTCTCCAACATGGAGAATTAAGCATATTGCTACTTGAGCAAATATATGGAATTGAGTCCTAGCAATAGAACTCCATCCATAACAAGCTTGATAGTATGTATATACTAGCATTTGTTAATGTTATATCATTATATTTAATGGTTTGATAGTTAAGCTTACGAGTTATATTGTATGAGAGTTGTCATAAATATTTTAATGCAACAACAACAGCAACATCATTAAGCTTTTATCTGATCACGCGAGGTCGCTTACATGAATCCTTTTCTCTGTTATGCTCTATTAAAAGTCAAATTCTCATTTAAATCTAATAAAAAAACCATTTCTAATAGTTTCTAAGTCTATTTCGATCTTCCTCTGCCTTTCTTAACATAGGCTAGATCTAATATATTTACTCTCCAAATCAATTCATTTGAAGGCACAATTTAGTAGATATGGAAAATAGTTTCTATTAAATTAACATGTTTTGGGGCTTTAAAATGTGTTTTATCCTCTTCAAGAAGAGCCATTTAAGATTTCAAAGATTGATTGAGATATTGTGTAGGGGAAATTAATCATAATTTATTTTCTAATGAAGAATTAAGATTTCTCGTAAGTGCAAACATCTCGATTAAAGATGTCATTATGCTCTAGAAAGTTATTAGCATTTATATATGATGATGATGAGGATATATAGTCAAAATTTCATGAATGTGTTATTTTAGGTCAAGCTGATGAGCCCAATCTACTAACAACATAATATATAAAACTAAGGTTTCATTTAAGACAGCTTTCTTATTGTTTTATAAAATAACTTTTTAGTATAAAATTTTTTAATAAAAAAAATAATTTTAGAAAATAATAAAAAACTATCACAAATAAATCTTTAATAATCTTATATTAAAATTGACTTAGTGTCATAAGTATGAAGAGCATAACTCAACACAAAGGCATTGACATAACAAATTCAACTAATCAAAAATAAAATAAAAATCATCCCAAAGGGCAACTTCTAAGGCACATAAATGAGATGAATATTTTATTTAATGACTATTTCTTTTGATATATTGTTCACAAATTTTTTGAATAAAAAAAATCAATGATGTGAATATATTCTATCGAATTTCATCTGAGATAATTTTTTTTACTACTTTCTAAAACAATTTTTTAATACAAAAATTTTCTAAATTAAAATTTTTTATATACTAAAAAATATTTTTAAAATTAATAAGAAAACAATCCCAAACAAATCCTTAATTATTTGTTGAAGCAATGCAGCTACCTTCATTCTTTTTGACCAAACAAAGAACTTTAGTAAATGTTAAGAAGCTAAAGAAAGTATTCATTCACATTACTGAATAAATGGTGAGAAAAATAAGATTGAAAGCATATTTAGAACATAATTTCTTCATCTAAATTCCATAATTCATCTTAGCAAGCTTAATCATTTGGAAACATTAAAAAAAAAAATAGCACTAGAATTTTTTTTCATACAAATTTATACATACAAAGAATATTTACACATATAACACCATTTTTTTCAAATTTATTAAACTAACATTCAAATTATTTTTTAAAAGCTAGATAAACAAGCCTTTATCCCACTAAATGAGATGGAACTTAGGCATATAACACTTAAGGTCAAAATCATGCATTTATGAGTAAAATTTGCATATTAAGCATAGCTGCATAAAACATTTTGGGTGCAAAATCAAGCTATAATTTGCATGCAAAAAGCACAAGATGGATGGGTACATGTTAAGAAAGTTTCGATTGGGACCGTTTTTTCATTGCTTCTTAAAGCAATTCACTACAGAAAATTCATCAATTACCGACGGTCTGGACCGGCGGTTGGACACCGACGACACGTCGGTGGTCTCACAGCTGGTTTTTACTTCGATTTTAACAGCCGGTAAGCCGCCGGTAAAATCACCGGCAGTGTACACTGTAATAACGCCGATAATTATACTGGCGATTGAACGACCAGTATGCCGTCAATAACAAAACCGGCGGTCACCGACGCTTTGACCGCCAGAACCTAACCGAAAGTATAAACTGCCGATGAAAAAAAAAACCTCTGAAAAAACACCACTCGAAAAAGTTTCCGGCACGATTTTTACCGGCAGTTTCTAAACCGCAAAAATCGCAGACAAGCCATTAGTGTTTTACAAAACCGCCGAAAAACTACTAATAACCGCCGGTAGTGAGTGATTTTCCTGTAATGATTTATTTTACATAAATTAAAATTTTTTATACTAAAAACCTACTTTAAAAAGTAGTAAGAAAGCCGTCCCAAACGAAGCCTCAGATAATTCATAAATATTTGTATACTGAAATTGGAGTAGAACATACACATTATAAACAAATGCATTGATGAAAGGCAGAGACAAGCTATACAGAGTTGTGTGCAGAAAGATAATAAATATAATCATAGTTGAATATGAAAATTATGGAATTAGTGGAGTGCAGTTTGATTAATTACATAAACCAATCAATATGATTCTGCCAAAAAAAAAAAAAAAAAAAATCTGAATGAACCAAAATTTTACTAAGAATCCAAACTGAAATAGTTCAATCTTTAAGTTTTATTTGGGACAATTTTTTTATTATTTTCTAAAATAACTTTCTAATATAAAAATTTCTAGTTAAAAAAATTGTACCATAAAACTACTTTAAGAAATATAAAAAAAATTATCTCAAATGAAACCTTAATTAGGATACATAAAATAGAAAGGCTTATGATGATGATGAACATAGTTACTTAACATTGGCTATAGATTGCGAAAATCATAAGTAGAATAAGCATTTCAAGGAGTACAAAAACAAGATTCATATTAACAATCCATACTTCAAATTTTGATTGTTTTTAGTAAAACATTAAGGATTCGTTTGGTACAGCTTTCTTAATGCTTTCTAAAACAATATTTCAGTTAAAAAATTTCTTGAATTAGAATTTTTCGTATTAAAAAACAATTTTAGAAAGCAAAGAGAAAGCTATCCCAAATGAAGCCTAAGACTCATATTATGATACATAATTCAATATTTTCAAAACCGAAGCAAAATCAACAAATAACATGAGAGATAATTACAAATTAAAATATATAACTAATTTAGAACCAACTCAAACCAACCTACACTGAAATTAATGCAATTAATATGATAAAATAAATCCAAAGGTTCTTAAGCAATCTTGATGCAAATTGCATTAATATATCTTACTTTTTTTTTTCGATTTAAATAACTAATAACATGCTCTCATAGATGAGCATAAATTATACGACTTTGACAACAACATCAAAACTTTATCCCATCACATGAGATCGGCCACTACATAAATCTTTTTTCTCTAGTATGTTCTATTAAGAATTAAATTCTCATTTAAATTTAATTAAAAAATATATATTTTCTAATACTTTCTAATAACTTGGTTAAAAAATATCAGAAAATTTTTTTTCTTAGATTTAAATGAAAATTTAACTCTTAATAAGTCACAATGGAAAAAAGAAAAAAAAAATTCATAAAGATTTGTATATATATATATATATATATATATATATATATGACTTTGACAAGAAAAAAAATTCCTAAAAGGGCTGAAAATAAGAACCAAACAGTATTAAACAGACTTGATGATTTTAGTCATTGAAACAATCAGAAAAATAGCAGTAATAATTTAAAAAAAACAATTAAAAAGAAAAAAACTTAAATTTCAATGGAGTCATAAATTAAATATTTTGTCGAAATCATATTTATGCAAGTGAAAAAAATATGATAAATAAGACATTAAAATTCATGCCAGCCTCTCCTAAGGCTGTGCTCTTGGTCACAGTCCCAATCAAAATGAACAGAAACCCTAAATGAATAAAAAGGGACCCAAAAACAAGATGCAGATTTGATTGCTGACACTCATGGAAATGCTTTTATTCAAATAAAAAGAAAAAAAAATAATTGATCAAGAAATCAAGTGATGGCCAAAGCAGGTGGAAGCTGAAAACTTAATCAGCATAGCTTTTTTTAGGGATATTTTTAAGGTTCAGTAAAATGGTACAAATAGATCAATGAGGCCCCAAAATCCGAGGCAATGAAGGAGGTTTTTCTTGAAAATCTCATTCCCCTGATAAAGAGGGATTTTTCTGAGATTAACCAGCTATTATATCTCATGTAGCAACAACAATTCAAGCTGCAAATGACCTGCATAAGAAGAAACAAGATGATCAAGCAAGGAAACAAATGAAGTGAGGCAAACATGTAATCTGGATTTTACAAAATCAGCTTTGTAAAATTTTAGCTCACTTCACGGGTCAGTGAATTTGAAAGAAAAAACACTAATACCTGACCCATCAAGAGAGCTCCAACAATCTCCCTACCCTTCCCAAGCATCCTATGGAACTAGTAATCAGCTTGATTTAAGTTTAGGGTTTAGGGTTTTCAGAAATGAAAATAATGGTGACCACAGAAGCCCAGGTAGGTTTTCGGGTTTCCGAAGGGTGATGGATCATATTCTTTATTCTTCTGTATGAAAGAAAATGCCCCAATTTGCTGATATCCAACAATAAAACTGTATATGCAAAATGTATATCTTTATTGCTGGTAAGGGATATTTATGTTATTTGTTATAAACTCATAATCACCAGAAACATAACAGCATAGTTCAGATAGAGATCATGATGTACTTTAGTGGAAGATTTGCATCACCTTGAGGCGCCTGCTGAATTCTGGATTATGAATCTAGCAACCAATCACATATTGTTCATGCTTTGGCTTTAATGTGGTGATCATTTATATTTATCCAGCCTTTATTATGGTGACATTTTATCATATAATTATGAGTGGTTGTCAAAATCAGGAAACTCCATTTATAAAGCAGCTTTTTAGTACAAAAATAAAAAATTTTATACTAGAAAGTTGTTTTAAAAAGCAGAAAGAAAGTCATCCCAAATGAAACCTTAATCATCAAGATTGGAAGATATTGAAACAATATTATTTTGTTCTGATTTCTAGCAACTCAAAGGTACCCTTACGACTGATAAAAGAAATATGCAAACATCACCAAAAGCTCAACCAGTTGGAGTTGAGCTCCTGACTGCGACTGAATATGAAAGTAGCTAAACTTGAAATATTAAACAATTTCAAATGATCTGATGAAGGATTCTCGAGGCTAGTCAATAAAGCTTGTTAATGTCTTACATTTGCCTTCAAAAGTGGCAATTAAATCTTCAGAGTCTAGCATGACAAAATGAATCGTAACAGTAACACCAACAAGCAATGAAACATATGCAGCACATCTTATTGATGCAAGAGAGAGTTGAGTGAGTGCGCAGACTATTAAATGTGCTGCGTATTAAAGGTTTTTCAGCGGAATTTAAAGATTTTAAAGAAGATTTATAAGTTATGGTATGGTGGTGTGTGGGGTTAAGTTGAATTTGGTAAGTGATGGAGTGATTGCAGCCAATTGAAAGATAACATCAGACCAAACACTACTTGTGATAAATAACAAAACAATACTTCAACGAAAAAAAAAGTGAAGATATGAAGATCATTATTAAAGATGTAGACATCAAATAGGATGGAAAAATCTCCGATGAACGAGAAACAAATATGAGTTTTTAAGTTTTTCATTTTAGTTTGAAGGAAGGGGAAGGGTGTACCTGAAAAATGAATAAGATTAAAACCGTACTATTTCACGATTAAAAAAATTCATTTTGAATTAACTTATAAGCATAAAATAAAAGATTTAGATTGAAATGAGATCCTTGTTGAGATTTCAAGATTCAAGGAAGATATGAGGGTAATTTGGTCGAGAAATATTTTGAAAGAACAGTCAAAGGATAAAGAAAACGGCAAATGATTGGATACGATGCCTTTTAGTGCACTGTTTAAAAAATAAAGGATATTTTTAAGATGAAAATAATAATATGAGAATTTTTCTTTAATCATAAAATAAAGTTCAGGGAGATAAAATATAGACTTAAAAAAATCACATGGATATTTGATTGTTAATTTCATATCATGGCACGGAGATCTATAAAGATGAACTATGTACAGAGCATGATTTAAAAAATCGCTTGTGATGCATGCCTCAAGGTGCACCTCAAACTGAGGCGCATAATGAGAGCCTTGAGGCTTTAAGCTTCACTAGTGCTAGTGAGGCTTACACTTTTTTTTTAAATGAGCATATGCCTTGTTAATAATAATAATAATAATAACATTTTATTCTATTATACAAAGAGAAGGAACTAATAAGCTATAGGACGAATAAACAAGGTTGAATGTTGTGTTATGTTTAATAAAAATTTAAAAGAAAAACACATCATATTATAGAAACGAATAACTAGTGATGATGAAATAAATTCTTTGGTTGTTAATGATATATTATCTAATGATTAATGAATAATGTCAAAAAATAATGAAAGATTTAAAATTGAAAATGTAGGAATGCATTTGATGACAAGAAGAATGAAGATATCAAATGCTAATATTAAAATGACTAATTAATTGGTAATAATTTTTAGTTCACAATCAATTTAAAGAAAGTAGCAAACTAAAGTTCAAGCTTAGAAAAAAAAATTATGATTTAAATATAATGAATTACTTTATTGTGTTAATAATTTATTTCTTTATTTTACATTACATTGAATCCAATGTTAATTAATATGGGGTGGGGTGTTCAAAAATTGTTATAATTGAAGAAGATTTAGAAGATGATGATGATATAAAATTCAAGGATGATATAATTATTACATATGAGAGTTATTATGAAGAATATGAAAGAAAGTATGAGGCTATCACTGATCCTAATCATTATGATGTATTTAAGTTTTTAATGAGTGTTTTCAGTACATCTCATTTCAAACTTTTATTTTATAATAACATTTAATATCTTTATGAGCATGAATCAAATAAATATGTTGATGTTTTACTTTATTTTTATAATTTTTATGAATTATTTGCAAGTTCATGTGCTTTTTATATTTCTGTTTTGAAATATTTTTTGATTCTCGATTTCACCTTTTAAACCTTTGTACAGTAATAATTTGTAGAAAAAATACAGAGCTACAAAAATAGGCTTCATAAAGTGTGTATTGACCATGAGAATGTATAAAATTGACAAGTAAAATAACTGTTTCAGTAGGCGTTTAACAAAAAATGAGTGCAATATACATATGAAAGATGCTTTGAGAGGAAATAATGAATAAGAATAGACTTAGTTGAGGGGTTCCCATCTACCATGGAGGAACTCTACTTCACATCAATTTGATTTAAAAATATACTAGGAATATTGATGAGGACATCACTCAGAGATTCTGACATGTGTATCGTCAGCTACGATTCAAAGTCTTTACTTTTGATGTATTTTATGTTTCATTTATTTTGCATTTCAGTTTTCCTAGTTTACCCCTATGGGTAGTGAGTTCTTATTGTAGTCCTGAGGGCATTTGAGTCTTTTTTTCTTTTCTTTGTGATTGAGACCTATATATAGCGGTCTTGTGCTTTGTAAGAGCTTAAAGAATGATTCAATGAAAAATTGATGTTTGTCTTCTTCTTCTTGTGTGTGCACTATAGAGAAGAGAGCCCGAGGTGAGAGCGAGCGCAATACCCACCAGTCATTGGAAGAGTCCGTGGCTCGTAGCTTATCTTCTTTTCCCCTTGTTCTTTCTCCCTAACCGGACGCCACATACGCCTCCTCAAACCACCGGCCGAAGTCTCCCCTTGCCCCAACCGCTGGCCACCTCTCCACCTTCATCCAACCCCTTGACCTCTAACCTTCCCCCAATCCCCAACTGCCGTCCAACCCTCTTCCCCCAAGCTCCACCACCAGCCAGAACCCCCTTTCCCCTTTAATGATAAATTCAATCATCAACTTACCTAAAATAACCTAAATAATTTGGGAAATAAGTTTCCTCAATTTGAATTTCAAATAATTTTCTAAATTAACAAAAGCTTTATTAGGAAAGTTTTAAATTTAAGTTCAATTTAATTTTAAATTGGATTGGATTGAATTATCCTTTCCCTAAATTAGAGAACTCAATTAGGAAGCTCTTATTTCTCTTCCCAAACCCTCCTCCCTCTCTCTTAATGCTGCCAGCCCCCTTATTGTCCACCTCCTTTGATTTTCCTCTTTAAGCCCTAACCCTAGTTGAATTTGAAATCAATTTCAAATTCAATTCCCTCCAAAATCACTTAATTTCACGTATATGTTCATTTCGTATCCTATCTCTAAGGGTAAAGCCACTCATCCATCTGAGCATCCTCATCTCTGCAACACTTAACTTAATATTATGCTTCTCTTTTAATGGCCAATATTCGGCACCATAACACATTGCAGGTCTCACCACCATCTTAGAGAATTTTCCCTTAAGTTTGAGGGGGACTTTTCAATGACACAACAAGCCCGATGCATTCCTCCACTTCAACCATTGAACTTGAATTCTGCTGATAATATCACCATCTATTTCGCCATCACTCTGAAAAATAAATCCAAGATATCTAAAACGTGTACTCTTATTAATAACTTGATCGCCCAAAGTCACAAACCCCTCACTAGATCTATTAATATTAAAATTACACTCCATATATTCAATTTAAAATCTACTCAAGCGAAAACCATTAGACTCTAAGGTTGACCTCCATAATTCAAGTTTACCTTCAACTCCCTCAAAAGTCTTATCAACAAGAAAAATATCATCAACAAAAAGCATACACCAAGGTACATCCTTTTGCAAATGTGTAGTGAGAACATCCATGACTAAAGCAAAAAAAAAATATGGGTTATGTAATCCAACCAAAATAGGAAAATAATTGGTCAAACCACCTTGTGTTTGAACACAAATAATAGCTCCTGCATATATATCTTTAATGATTTGAATATAAGCGTTATTAACTGTTTTCTTTTCAAGAACTCTCCATAACACTTCTCTTGGAACTTTATCATGTGCTTTCTCTAAATCAATAAATATCATATGCATATCATCCTTATTCTCTCTATATTTCTCCATCAAACCTCTCAATAAATGTATGGTTTCCATAGTAGACCTAACTAGCATGAATCCACATTGATTTTTAGAAACATTAGTATCACGCCGCAACTTTCGCTTCATAACTCACTCTCATAGTTTTAAAGTATGACATAAATAGCTTAATTCCTCTATAATTCGCACAATCTTATGTATCACATTTATTCTTAAAAATAGGAATTAACGCACTCATTCTCCACTCATACGGCATCTTTTTAGTCTTCAAAACATTATTAAAAAATTTAGCAAGCTAAGAAATTCCTTCATCTCCTAAGCATTTCCACAGCTCTATTGGAATATCATTAGGTCCAACAGATTTTCCACACTTCATTTTCTTTAAAACCTCTCTAACTTCAGTTTACTAATACGCCAACAACAACAACAACAACAACAACATCAAGCCTTTATCCCACTACGTGGGGTCGGCTACATGAATCCTTTTTCTCCATTGTGTCCTATTAAAAGCCAAATTCTCGTTTAAATCTAATAAAGAAAGGTCATTCCTAATATTTTCTAACCAAGTCTTTTTAGGTCTACCCCTACCTTTCTTAACACAAGTCAAATCTAATACCTCTACTCTCCTAACCGGGTCGTCGGAAGGCCGCCTTTTTATGTGACCAAACCATCTAAGGCGACTCTCTCTAATCTTATCTTCTACTGGAGCTACTAATACGCCGATAAAAAAAAATCTTTATTTTCATTTAGGGTGTTAAGGTCATTAAAGTCAATTGTATTTTCATATTCTTCATTAAAATTTATAGGATAAAATAAACAAATAAATCTAAAAAAATTATTGAAATCAATTTAACCGTAATCTTGTGCCTAGTCAAATCCAATGGAGGCAGAAAACTACTCTTTAAAAGAGTTGTAAGAGATATTGTCTAGCAATCTTCATGCACTTTGAAATAGATTAATGCAGGGTTTTAAGGGATGGAACAACTTAACGAACTGCAGTTCTGAAAGCAAGCATGGACTAGATCACAAGTGAAGTAGGCAACGACATTGAAGGTTTTGATACTAATTTAAGCTGAAAGAGGCAAAGAAGCGGGAGAGATATCGGGTATTAGGAGGGACCCAAAAAGGAGGTAATTGTATTCCATCATAGAAGAGATTAAAAGATATTTGGATTCAGTTCATTCAATTACAATCAATCACAAGCCCTAAACACCTATTCATAGAAATAAGTTACAAGCTAAGTCATATAGATAAGGTCAATTGTTTAAATATAAATCTAAACTTATATAAACTAAATCTTATCTTAATTATTCAAGTTCAAACATTAATTTATCCAAAAAAATTAACTAGTAAATAGATAAATAAAATTTAAAACTTGAATAAATCCTAAAAATACAAAAATCAAATCTCAACCAAATAAGTTACAAGCTAAGTCAAAAAGATTATTGTTTAAATGTAAATCTAAACTTCTATAAACTAAATCTTATCTTAATTATTCAAGTTCAATCATTAATTTATCCAAAAAAAATAACTAGTAAATAGATAAATAAAATTTAAAAGTTGAATAAATCCTAAAAGTACTAAAATTAAATCTCAACAAATCTCTTGTAGTCTTGTGATCCGTCAATTCCATTAGGGTTGAAAAAAATTTTCATGAAGAGTAAAAAGATATTTCTAAGCACTTGGTGATCTCCAATCATCCTTATTGAACTAGGTAAAAGTGACCCCCATCCACTAGAGAAACGCTGGCACCAAACTTAACCTGGAAAGACTAGATTACTCTCCCGATTCAAGAAGAATTGATTACTTGCATCTCCAGCATCAAGATTTTTTTCTACCCTGGTTATTTCTTGTCGTAATAATGCTGCAATGCATACCACATAAAAATTTTCCTCAAAGCAGAGAATTGTTTCTGCCTTCCCTCAATTAATGAAGTGGAATCATGAAGAAAATCTTTAAAATAATCCAACAAAGTAAAGAAAATGATTATGTCATCATGATTTGCTGTTTACGGGGCCTCAAAGGTGAAATTGAAGTTGGCTTTTTGGGTGAATGCAAGTTGAGGCGAAGAGGAATCAATCATCAAAGGATCTGGCTATGAACAAAATTGCGATAATAAGTTGGTAGTTACAATGTTATTGAATGGCTCAAAAAAAGATGAAACATTGACTTGAAGGTTAGGTCACATGGAAGATAAACGGAGAGGAGAAGCTTGTGTATCACAATTCAGTGAATGGTCGAATGCATGCAGGGATCCTCATGCAAGATTGTGATTAGATATGTAGAAGAAGCCATGTCCGGCCTTTGGATCTCAATGGATTTCTTTCATTAATGTGCGTACGGGTTGCTTCGGAGTTTCATTGGTAGGTACGATCATCGAAGGGAAGCAACAATGAGATTATGATTTTGGTCCTAAAATCAATGACCAGAGGAATGCAACAAGTTGACAGATGAAATGGATTCATGAATTGCGATTTCGGAGCAAGGAAATCAACTGAAGGACATGCGTGGAGATAGTCAATAGAGACAGGATTGTGAAGCAACAAACAATGCCAAAGGATATGTAACAATAGATAGAGAATGGAGTAGCAGGAAAATGAAAAGATAGGGTATAAAGAAGGGCCCAAACAGGACGTAGTAGGTTTTCATCAAAGAGATCAAAGAGAGAAGAATAGAAAATATCCTAACTTAATTCATTCAATCATAATCAATTGTAAACTTTAAAACCATACTTAAAGAAATTAGTTACATGATAAGCCCAAAAAGATAAGAACAGATGTTAACATTTATATCTAAATTACACAATCTAAATCTTATCGAATAATTCAAATCTAAAATTATCCAAAAAGGATAATTTAAACTAATAGAATTTTAATATCTGATCAATCCAAAAACAATAAAATTAAACTTAATCCTAAGTTTTTGCACTAAATTACCCTAAGTCTTTGCATCTAATCACTTGGAGTAATAATTAATAGTCATGCTAAAAGATAGCATTTTAATGGATTTCAAGGTCGATTGAACATGGAACCATGAGCATATCGATAATTCCGGAATGTTTGCCCATACCTTATTATATAGAGATTATGATGCATCGACATTGTATAATCAAAGTATACAACATCCAACACATGCAAAATATGCCATGCATGTCCTATAGGCATCCAAAACATGTCAAACTACCAATACAGTTTGTTATGGTTTAAGTGAAATAGCGATAATAAAAAGGATGGAGGTGCAAAAAGTCATAGACAAATAAAGGCATTTAATTTAGAAAAAAGATAACTAATTATGTCTTTAATAATTAATTTGTTTATGTTACTTTTTTATAATTATTTTTGTTTCTTGTGTAACTGCAACATTTATCATTACATGAATTTGCTTGTATGCATTTAATATATATATTTTTTAATTTGTACAATTACTATATCATACTTTTAGTTTTCTTTAAGATAATTTATACTTATATATATTCATGTTCATCTCATCTATTTTGAATAATACATATGCTACATATCTGAATATTCCTCGATGCATCATAGTTAGAGATACTTAGTGTCATTTTGATGCTAGTGAGTATAGTAATGATACTACTAATTCATCACAAGAACAACAAAATTATCCTATCAGCACAATAAGAATAATGATAGTCAATGGAACAAGTGAATGCCACAAAGGCTATCGTTACCTCAATCATCACCGCCTAATTCTAGGCTTGCATCGAAATTCTGCTAAAAGTGCTATATGATCGGAAGACCATTCCGGCGAAGGTAGAGCGGTATCTTTCCGTAAGCTTTCCTCATCCAGAAGTTCCAATAATGATTCCACTGACAAAGAGTCAGCTGAAAATAAAATACATGAGATGCTCATTCCAAAAACTGGAATAATTAAATTACCTTATATTTGAAATATACAACTATAATAATAGTGAAAAAAACTGTAGCTTGCTTATAATGACAATGATGAAAACAGAAATGCCAACCTGTGTAAAAGATATAATCCCGTGTGCCAATAAAATCCCTAGAGCAATTTGTAAATAATGGTTCATTTGTTGTGGAGTCCATTCTCCTCCTCTGTTGCTCCAAACTTGGACCAACACTTATCATTCTTGCGAATGATGAGTATGCGCTAACCTGTGAGTGCATAAAGTTGACAAAAATTCTAACCAACTTTTGTTGTTTAAGCATAAACAAGCTAAATAGAATGATACCAATGGAAGTTGATGATTTAACTTGCTTGCAGGGCGTAAGATCCCAAGGGGATCAACTGCCAAGTCTGGATGCAACTGATCTACTTTGCCCATAGCAAGTAGAGCATGCGGTGCACTGCAATCAAGAAATGGCTGATTAAAACAATCAGAAAACATGGGAAAATCCTTCTAAAGACGAAAATGTGAAAAAAACAAAAAAAGGCGCAGTTCTAATAAGTGCACATGCCTGCCTGGAACAGAATTAAAATCTCCACACACCAACATTGGGATGTCAGCACTAACTGCTATCTTTTCCAATCCTTTTAAGAGGGTGTGAACCTAAAATAATTGCATCCAAGAAACCAAAACAAATCACTTGCCAAGAAACAAAGACAAAGATTATTAAAAAAAAGGTACTGAAAGAAATTACAAAGAATGAACCTGCCAAAGCTTAACATCTGTGAGTTCCTGGGGAACATTTACATGAGTATTAGCCTGAACAAAGTGAGAAAAAAAAAATTAAATACAAGCCTCTAAATTCAGCTCAAGATAGCTTAATCCTTCTTCCACTGAGACTAGCAGAGAACATCATATTCAAAACAGAGAAATTCATGAAAATGCACAAAGTCACATTTGGTTAAAAGAACAATGCAAGCATTAACTACAAACAAATCTAGAAAACACAAGGATGAACAAAAGATAGAACAAAACTAGATGCACATGGGATGATTAATGGCAGCAACAAAAGCATTATATAGCAATAAAATATGTTTTATAATTGCAATTAAATATGGGTGAAAAAAGGGACTTAACACAATTCATGGTTACTTTATAAATAATTGAAAACTTCAAATTTCAAAACCACAAAAAACACATAACACTCACATAATTCACGATAAGGATATTCCAGGTTGGCAAAAACTTTTGCAAGGATGCATGAAGAGCCAAATCGCCTCTACAATACAAAACTCCTAATATGATTTGGTGGCATAGCTACATAAAAATCTTAACTGAACAAGCACTTTAATAATTGAAGTCAACAAAATCTATTAATAAAGTTTTGAAAAAAAATAGAGCAAACAAAAAGATGAGAGCTTTTCAAACTGGGAAAATCAAAGCATAGCACACATATGCAGTAGATATTTGATAGAAATTCAGAGAAACTTCTTGATAAAACTGCACATGGAAGAAAGAAACTACTCAAGAAATTCAACTAAACTTTCAGCCATGGAAAATTGACGAGAAAATCAAGCACGTCAATAAAAGTCTTTGTTGTTTAACATGGGCATAGATACAACCATTAGATAATCCATGCATCAACAGAATTTCCAATATAATTGGTTCAAAGGGCACATACATGCAACTTGCTTCCTATGAAAAAAATAAAGACTAATAATAAGGGAAGACTGATTCTCTAACCACACAAAGAAGTTGTCTGCTCCCAGGACTATCAGCAACATGGTTGCTAAATTTGTCTTCAAGTACTGCAATCAAAGCAATATTATCCTGCACAAGAGAGCCTCGTTCAACATTTACATCTGAATAGAAATAATGGAAGGAACTTTGAAAATAGGAGTGAATAAGAGACCTTGATTAATCGACTCAAAGCAACTTTCTTTTGGTTAGCAGGAATAACAGCATCAGTCAGAGATTGTGCAGCTTTATTAAATTCAACCTGCGTAAAAAAAGATGTTGAGCATGAAGTAAAATGTTAAAAAAACAGGATAATTACCCCATAGATACCTCATATTTCTTGACATGAGAAAACCTATCTCTTCGAAAAAATGTCGCACAACCATCAAGTGAATTGGAATTTCCATTGTAAACCTAAACAAAGGAACACTAATACAGATAAGATACTTCAAGGAAGATGACAAAAATATTGGGAAGCAAATGAGTCCAACCTCCACAGTTTTTTTCTTGTAGAGGGCTTGATACCCATGTTTGTCGAGTTCAGGAGAAAAGAATTCTTCAAAATGGTTGCTTTGAACCTACAAAAATACAGCCGATTCTATCTTTTATTCACATAAACTCAAATATCTATCAAAGTTCAAAAACAATAGAACCATAAAGTCGACTGCGTTTAATCAAACAAACTCAATGATAAAAGTTCATGATTTAAAAATAAAATAAATTAAATCCTTCAAACATCAAACAGGAACCTTTTTATAACCCAAAAAAACAAGATCATATCAGAAAAAGGAGGGATTTCTCTTATCCAAATACTAAGCCAAGTAATTAAGTATTCAAAGCAGATTAACCAAAGGAAACCTTTACTTTGAGGTACGCCTTAAAAATTAGGACAAATTTCTAACAAAAAAGGCAATTAGCAATTCCAACATGACAAAAAAAAAACAAATGAATTGAAATAATATAAAGTAGATAGATTAATAAAATAGCATTACTAAATAAGATAATACATATGTATTCCTCTTATTAACAATCTGCTAATAAAGGACATACTTCCTGAAGACATATGATGTCAGCATGGTAACCAATGATTTCCCGTAGCAAATTTTGCCGCCGATAAGGCCACGAAAGTGCCCAGGATGGGCAATAGCTGTATGAGTCACTTGTTGCATACAAGTCAGCAAGAATGTTGTATGAGAGCACAGTGAAAGTCCCAAAAGATGCAGCTCGAACATCTTCCAAATGTCCAAGAACATCTGCTCCGCTCACCTCAATCATACGTCGTGGAATAGGACAGGGAGCAGGAATAACCCGTGAAGTCATAATCGAACTTGGTGTCCCAACAGGTTTGCTTGATTCTACATTAACAGCAACGCACTCAAACTTCAAAGTGTTACCAATGTCATCAGTGGTCGGCGTATAGGTTCTAGAACGACCAACTTCAAACCAGGTTTCACCACCATTCCTTTCTGAAACAGCTACTGGATATGAAGGCACAGAACCATTGCTCGGACTTGGAGTACCTACCCTAGATGTTGAACCAGATATCCCTGTACTCATGACAGCAGATCCACCGCTGAAGCGTCCAAATAATTCCTCCTCCTCGACTCCAGTTTCATTTACAGAATTACTTGCACGGTCATGCAAAGCACGATGATGCTGCCATGCATCGGCAAAGCACTTCGATGAACAATGATAACTCTTGGAAACATGTGCTTTAGACTTAAGGCAACCAAGGCACTGCAATGTTGCAAGTTCAGTTGGGTGTACACTACACATAGCAACTTTTTTATCACTTTGAATGCGATACCTGAAAGAATATTATTAAAATTATTGGTATATCTTAAGTATAATGTAAATTAGTGATATATATATATATATAACTCTACTTATGACAACTGCTTATGACAACGAATGAAAAGCAAATAAGTAGCATTCAAACACAACAAAAATTTAACATTATTTAAGAGGTATCATAAGCAATTTCTTTATGATAAGATTTCAAAATCGAACATCACATGCAGAAACATGCGGTTGTAAGGGAATTTGGTACAGATGAATGAAAATATTTTAAAGGCTTACAACTTTTCAAGTGACTGAGTCGAGAGCTTGGTATTTTAAAGCTAAAACCATAGCACAAACATTTCTAGTATATGAATTGATGCATAATCATCCTTATAATCTTCATCATCATCCTCCCAGCTTTTTTCCCCAAACGGGATCAACTATGGAGCACACAAGAAGGCTCTAGGAACAATTGATGATTATTTTACATATTGGAGGCCACCAAACCAGTAACTCTCTAATTAGTTTCAAATTCCTGAAGGATAGAGGTATGGGCAAGAGGATACATCTAAATTAATCATGTTGCCCAATTTCAAAGTCGTCACTTCAAAATAAATCAGATATAGAACAAACCATTAAGACAATTAAACAATCAAGAGGTCCACATTGAAGGGTGTCTAAAAGTTATTGTTAGTGAATAATGGCTCAAATTTCTAAGAGCACATTTTCTTGGTGATCCACTACAGGCAACATAATATGTTGTTTCTCAAACACAATGTTCACTGAAACTGGAGCGAAATAAATAAAACATTTATATATAACCAAGGTAGTACAAATAAACTTCATGCAACAAACTAATAAGCTAAAAACCCTAAAAGTAAGAACAACCTTTGCCTTATGTCCCACATCTAAAAGCAGTTATCTCCTTAAAGATAATATCTCTTATACATTCGCCCACTTGCCGTGGTCTATTAATATTGAAAAGTCAATGCTAATACATTATTGGCAAGTCAGCCCAACAAACATAATAAATTGCAAGGAAAAAGGATAATAAGTTACAGTTATAATTAACGTAAAGCATTAAGCAACATGAAGAGGTGTATGGAATCTTATGGGTATGGTTTGGCCAACAATCATCATTATCCCATCATCCCATAAATTAGTCAGCTTCATGGCTTCATTCCTTTTTGTTGAGTGACAGGTATGATTTTAAATTAGTTTGCACTTTTTTTTCTTTTGACAACTTCTAATAAAATTACTTTTGGTCTACACTTTAACTTCACACACCTTTTCAAGCCAATTCTAAGTTCTAACAATTCAATTTATATATGCATCTTTTTCCTCTATTGGTCATACCCAAAACAGCTAAATCTATTTTCTAAAATCTTATCTTCAATAGCTGATGCTTACACAGGCTCTCTAATACAACCATTTCACCTTTTTTTATTATTATCTTGGCACAAATCCATCCTAACACTATAATTCAATTACACTAGCTCAGTTGATGCCTAAGTTTTGCCGTACAACACTCATATTCACATATCCAATCTTATTCTCATTTGCCTAATTGACCTTTCTACTCATAATATTCTCTTATTATGCAATATCCCAAGGTGCCTCTGAACTGTAACCAACAAGGCAACAACTATCAATCTTACAATTTATAACATCAGCAACATTCAAAATCTTATGGATGATAAAGCCAAGAGACAAATTCTTAAACTGATCACACAAATTCATCACTCAAACCTCCAAAACTATTAACTGATTATGAATTCCATATTATCAATGCAATATCCATTAATATTGTATATCATATACTCAAACTTGTTATGAATCCAAAACATCTTCTATTGCAGGCTTTTCAAAAAAGTAAAGCTCAAGAAATACATTGCCAAAAGAGTCCCAAGCAATGGTGGTATTTAACAAGCACTAATGTTAGAAGGGAAAAAGATGTAAGCTTATCAGGGATTTTATCCACAACTTTCAAACTACGTAGCCATCATTAAAAAGAAGCCACCAACCAAAATAGGAAATTTCAAACTGAAAACAAATAAAGGACCATTTGAACGCTAAAGGACACAAAATAAATAACAAATTTTCAAGGAAAATTGGAGGCTTGAAAGTGGAATTTTCAGGATGCAATGGAAGAATATAGGGCATTCTCTTGCAACCTACGTTGGGGATATCCAATGCAAGTTAAACCTTAGCCTAATTACCACACTACCTTGTCACAATCTCCTCCTGAATCCCAAACTCTAACCATCAAATCCCCAATAATGAGTTCAAGTACAAGTGTACCACCATACAGCTTGTTAAATCCCAATAATGATGTTGTTGCTCCAATGGTGGGGATCTCCAATGCAGGTTAACTGTTAGCCTGCTTAGCATACTCCCTTGCTATGATATCTTCCTCAATCCCAAACCCTATCTATAGAAATCTCCAATAATGAGTTCAGGTACCACCATACAGCTAGCTAAATCCCAATAATGATGTAGTTGCACCAACAGTGGTGGTAGGACAAATCAACCATCACATGCCCTTAAAACACACTAGATTTGACGAATCAAAAAGTTACCCTTTGATTGTGCAACTCAAATAGCATCAAACAAAAGAGGTAATGGCCGAATTTAAATAAACCATAGGCCGATTGAAGCCAAGGAGGCATCTTTATGGCCACCACTATTCTCCTTGACTCTGGTTCAAAGATTCCAGCCTCTCTCTCTCTCTCTCACACACACACATTGTTTCAAAACTTCAATGTAGTTATTCCTAATTAAATGGATAGTTGATTGGGTTTAAACTACAAAACATCTTAACATTAGCATTCACCCATATTTAAATTGGTTGTTGCTTAGTTTTGTCATGCAACATTCATTTCCACATACATATATACGGATGTCAATAAATGACATGACACAATAACCCAACATGGACCCGTTCGAATTGACTCGAACAATACACGAGGCAGTTTCGAGCCTAAAATGCAGCTTGTTTAATTTTGGGAGATTCAGGTTGAACAAAAAAATCTAAAATTAGTTAGAAAAATAATTAGTATAATTTTTCAGTATAAAATGCATCCACTCCTTGACTAATCGACAACCCTCCTTCCCCTCAACATGTCATATTTAAGCCAACTGTCATATTGAAACAAAATAATTTGTATGAATCATACTATAAATGGGTCACAAGTGTTGCGTTCGGATGAATTGAGAGTGTCGAGTCAATTTCAGGTCAAACATTTTGACCTGATAAACACATTTGGTTTGAGTCAATTTCTTTTGTATTGATTTGGTTTTTGGTTAAACATTCTAACATATAAAATGTATGGATTGGATTTGAATTAAACAGTTTCAAACAGTCCGACCCATTAAACCAATTTGATATTCAAACACACATCCAATCTCATTCCCATTTACCTAAGTTGACCTTTCTACTTATATAATCTTCCTTACTAAATAATATACCGAGATACCTCTCAATCTTAACAACCAAAGTTCAATTCCAAGAAACTTAAAGTCTTAATCCTATAACACAAATTCATCACTCAATCCTCCAAAAATATTGATTGATTACGGCATCCACATTATTCATTCAATATCTACTAATATTGTATATCATATATTCAGCATTGTTACTAATTCTAAACCCCTTCTCCTATAGCATGCTTTTGAAAAGGCGTAAGAAAAGCATTGCCAAATTACTCCTTAATCTCAGCAACATTTAACCAACACTCATGCTATAATGCTAAGTAGCTTACAATGGATTTTATCCACAACCTTCAAACAGCCTAGCCATCATAAAAAAGTATTCACAAATAAAACAGGAAATTTCAAACTGAATAGAAGAAATAACCATTTGGAAGCTAAAGGACCTAAAAATAAAACAAAATAAAAGCTTTCGAGGGAAATTGGAGGATTGGTGCAGAGAACTTACCACCTGTATCTCATGTAGTAGCCATCGAGGGGTGCAGACTCGGACACATCATCGTTCGAAATGGAATTGTCGGGACGCCTCAGAAGAACGTAGGGCGTTATCTCACAACCTACGACGGGGATCTCCGACGGCAGGTGAAGCCTTAGCACGCTCAGCATACTTCCCTCTCCACGGTCTCTTCCTCAATCCCAAACCCTAACCCTAGAATCCCCAACAACGAGCTCGAGTACCAGATTGCACCTTTCCGAATCCTACTAACGATGCTGCTGCTCCGCGGGTGGTGGCGGGGCGGATCAGCCATCACCTAGCCCCGAAACACGCCAGGGTTGACCAATCAAAAACCGAACTTCTGATTGCGCAACCCCGATAGCACCGAGCAAACAACCAATGGCCAGATTCGGATAACCACAAGGTCAGATTGAAACAAGGATACGTCTTTATGGATGTCGCCGCTCGCCTTGCCTGTGATTCGAGAATCCCAACCCGCTCTCTCCCTCTCTTCGCTCTCCCTCCAATCTCTTTCTCTCTTAATGAGAGGGATGGTTGACGGCGCTTAAAACGGTATCAGCTCCTTAATTAAGACACGTCTGATAGAAGACTCCCAATAATTTTTTTTTTTTTAATTAACAACACCATAATACTTTTTTTTCTCTCTATCTCTATCTTAATCTTAGTACTAATTGGAAGGAATATATTTAAAATAAATATATTATTAGTGAAATGGAATAAGGAGTTGATTTTACATCTTGAAAATTATTTATTATATTGCTAATTTATAGCTTATTTTAGGAAGTTTATTTTTCATTACATAATTTTAAAACATTATATTAATATATACAACAAAAATCAATACATATCATATACTCAATCATATCAATAGTATATTTAATAACATAGTGACCTATCTATTTCACATAAGTCCGTCACATATCCATGTAGCATTCAAAATCAGTGGTCATCATCATATCACGTTAATCAATAGTTATCAATTTTATCTATCATGTATCATCAGTGCACATATCTATATCATATGTTATTTATACACACATCTCAATGTTATTATATGTTATATGTGCACACAAATCAATGCTATATGCACACAAATCAATATATGTATGCATTAATATAGGATTCAATAAGGCAGGGCTTCTAACTTAATGTGGTAATTTTATTCTTCATTGGCTATCTATTATGTATGTCCATTTGTCATATCATATCTTATCTTTCATTTATTTTAATTCACTATATAAAAATCATTCATTACTGGCGAATTTTTGGCGGAATTCTGACAGATTACGATGACATATTTCCGAGAATTTTTCAAGCAGTTTTTTCGACGTATTTATTTCCGATGATTTTTCTGGTTTATTTTTTTAATAAAGTGAGTTGTCATTTATTTTCATAAGTGTTTTTCATTGCTCATTTAATAGTTATCACCCTCTACTCATCAGCGTAATACAGCCAATCAATTATATACTACAACCAGAGTAACACCATAAACAACTTTTAAAGAAAAGCCCGTCGGGCTACTCTCCAACAGTATTATATTTTAAGAGTCAATTCGTATTAATTTATAATATTAACTTTTAGCCTTTGTTGCTTATATGCAAAGTCACATTCATCTTATAACAATAATATAATTTCATCTATAAATGCAATGATATATGAAATATAAAAAAAATTATAAAATATGCAATATCTTCATGAATGCTTAATTATCATTTTACCCAATAATATTTAAAATATTTAAGTCAAAATGCTCATATTGATGACATCTATTTCATACCAAAACTTATGTAATGAAATTTTACTTAAACGGAAGATATAAACTTTTTTTTTCACTTTTAAGAGAGTGAAAACAAAACAAATTTTGAATCATTGAAAACAGGTGCAGAGCAAATGCTACTTAGTTTGAGTAGAACAACTTTCCCAACAGAAGCGACGAACAAAAAAGCCCCAAAAGTCTTCTTTCTCTTTGCTCTCTCCTCTCCTCTTTTTCCTCTTCTCCCTTTTTCCTTTTTGAGCAAGCCAAGCGTAATGGGGAAGGGATGAGGTGACTGTGGCTCAATTCTTAGGTATATATATATAAACACTAATAGTGGCCTAGTGCCTAGTGCCACAGCACTCTGACCAGGTGCCGCAACACCGTATGTTGAATCTAGAATTATTTTAGAACAGATGTTTAAATGGTAAGGGTGCAAATGAGTCGAGTTGAGCTCGAGTTAAAGGGTGTTCGAGCCAATCTTGACTGTCAAATGCCAAGCTCGAGCTCGAACTCGAGTCGATCACAACAGTCGAGCTCAAGCTCGATTGGAAGGATAAAAAAAAAAGCTCGTTGAGTTGCTCGAGTGGTAGTTTGAGCTAAGTTTGTCCATCAAGCTCGTGTCTATCGCCAGTGCCGTGTCCGAATGTGTCGCCAATGCAGTGTCCGAACGCGTCGCCAGCTTCTCTCGTCGCCATTAGCATCTGCATCCATTGCCAGCGTCCGCATCCATTGGCAATTTTTGCATCGCGAGTCGACGCCAGCTTCCGTGCTGCTAAGCTCGTGAGTTGAGCAGATTCCCGTGTCTAATTTCATTTTCCCTTATGTGTTCTTATTTTTCCCACTAGCGATGCGAGCTGCTCGACGAGCTCATGAGTAGAGCAATGGGTTGTTCGAGCTCGATAAGCTATCAAGCTCGAAATCGTGTTCGAGCTCGACTCATGAGCTCGATAAACTCGACTAGCAGAGCTTGTTACCGAGTCAAACTAGAGGCAGCTCGCTAGCCGGCTTGACTCGGTTGCACCCCTATTCAGTGTTATAGCAACTATTTCTGGCACCACTATGCTCTCAAGCCTAACGTCACAGCACTAGAAAGCATAACGCATAAGCGTTCAAGTTTAAGCAAAATTTTAAAATTTTTATTTTAAAATACTTTTTCATTATTTGGTTTGTTATATTTCTTTCTTCTTCTTTTTTTAATACAGTCACGACTAGTTATTGATTTGCTCTATTCTATAGCTGAGTCTGTAACTATGTATTGTAGTTGTAAATTCATTTTGATAATGAATGAAAAAAAAAGTGGATGAGTTTATGTTCAATATACTGCATATTGTTAGTAGCTTTGTGATTATTATTATTTTTAAGTTAAAATTTAGACAAAGATTCTAATTTTTTTTTTCAAAACTTATATTTTGTGGTTTGCCTATTACAAACCAAGATGATAGGATATGTCAAGATTGTAGATCTTATCAGTATGAATTTTGACAAGTAATTTTAGTATCAGAGCAATAGTTTTGAAAATTGATCATTAAACGAAGCTATATGAAATTGATTTGTTAGTCTAATGAGGTGGTATTAGGCCCATCTGTGCATTCATTCTTATTTATTTTCATATGCATACATTCCCAATTGAGTATTCTGTGTGATTATAAATATATCTGATCCAGATATAACAAATAGATAGAGTGTTAGTCAAGTAGCACATGTGTATAGTATTGCTCCCACATTCAGTTTTGACATTATTTCACAGTTTTCTAGTTTGGTAGCTAGATGATGGGTGAGATATAGAATAAAGTTTCTACTATTTGATTTCATGAGGTAAATTGACACCTACATATATTTTTGAAGTTAAAGCCTCTGATATTTGAGGGCGTTGTTGAAACAAGGGCAGATGAATGATTGAGGATGATGGAGAAGACTTTTGATAGTATGCAGCGTCCTCTTGAGAGGAAGGTATCGTTAGTTATTTTTTGTTGGATGGAGAGGCAGAACATTGGTGTATGTGCCAGCACGAGGAGTGGAGTCAGGGCAGATTGAACTCCTTGATTACATGGGAGGGAATTTTTAACGTGTTTGAGCCTGGTTCGTACCACATTTTGCACGTTAGTAGATGCAAAAGGCTTTTCTGAAGTTAGTTAAGGAGAGTAGGATTGTCATACAATACAAGATAGAGCACTACTCTAAGCAGGTATGCTTCGTAGCTAGTTAGTACTCTCGAGGATAAGCACTACATGTTTTTGAGCAGTTCGTGAGACATTATTGACTATGTTTCATATTTCTGACATCTCTAAGGCTGTGGTAGAGCTCGTCTGATTGAGAATGATATGATTGTTATTTAGTAGCGGTTGACTACTAGTAGAAAGCAATTTGATAGCAAGACATATAACAATGGATTTTTTGGGAAGAATAATAGATTTGGACCTGGAGAGTCCATGAGAGGTGGACAATTTGTGTTAGTTTTGGGTAGAGGCAGTGTCCACATGTAGGACTCGACGGACTTTCTAAGCCCAAGATTGAGAGTTCAATTTGATATATAGAAAGACAGAGGATAGTTCCACTTTGCATGTTTTTTGAGGGGCCATCTAATAGAGGCAATTGTTCTGGTTCTATAGTAGGCTTTGTAGCAGGGAGACCATCCTCAGGTTAGAGAGAAGGATTGATAGCTTTATAGCTCTAGTTCCAATTGATGCATGTGTGTATAGTTTGACTCAATAGGAGACTAAGGATGCCTCAGATGTTGTAATATATATGGCTTACATATCTTATCAGCTTTGTCATATTTTGTTTGATTCTGAAATCAATTATGTTTGATTCTGAAATCAATTATTCATTTATTTTTGAGCGCCACTTTGATTTATTATACTTGCCTTAAGTATTATTTATTTTCTCTCTATCTATTACTTTGCTGATTAGATAGGGTATAGTAGCCAGTAGAGCATGCTTTTGTGACTTAGAGATATCCGATAGGAAGTGGAGATCTAGTTTGATTCTATTACACATTTCATATTTTCCATAATATTCAAGCCCAAAATTAGATCCAACAAGTTTAATCATTAACCAAAAAAAAAAACTTCTTTATCACATAATAGCAAAGAATATGATCAACTAATATTTATACAAGTCATAATATAATAAAGTTAGATTTGTGAACATCATTTTTCTTTTTAATTAAAGTTAGTTTATCCCTTATGCACCAAATACAAATTCCATGATATGTATCCTTAAAATATTAAGAATTCAACAAATTTTATTAAGTAATATTTGAACTCTTCAAAGATATTTTAGTTAATATTTTATATGCTAAAATAGTGGCAGAGCCAGAAATTTTTTTCAACGGGGGCCTAAATTTATTTTTATAAATTTTCTTTCAATTTTTTTATCCGGACTTGGACCAGCATCAACAATTTTAAAGTAAAAATAAAAATTTAATACTAATAATGATTTATTTATCTAATTTTATAAATTATTTATAAATCATATAAATAATGATTGTTAAAATAAAGATTAATTTTTTATTAGCAAAGACCTTTTAGAAAAAACATTTGCAATATAAAAAAGGAGATAATTGATATTGCATGCAAAGAGAATTTATCTTGCTAAGTACATGTTTTTACACAACATGTACATATCAAAGGACTCAAATTTTTTTGTGCCAAATACTAATGGCAAAAACTAGATAGTTACTTGAGATGGTAAAAAAGAGTTCTATCAAGATTCGAATGTGAGTAATTGAAAAATCCTACAACTAAAATTTCTCAATTAAAGTCTACTAAAGAACAAAACTAATAGTAAGAAAGTAAGAAAGTAGGAAGCCAGTGAGCAGATAATACGAAATTAAAAATGATTTGCACGTATTGATCTACATCCACTATTACATGATAACATAAAAACATATTTATTCTTTATTATTACTACACCGATTGGTGATTGCTCCAATTAGAGGGGCAAAAAGTGATGACATATATTTTCGAAGAACAACTCATAAGTGGTGATGGCGTATCATAAGCATAACTAAAATAAGAAGGGCAAGCCTCCTTGAACAACTTAGAGTACATACTAGGCTTGCACTTTTCAGGACTTTGATATGAACCTCTGCAACAAAATATGTCTTGGTTGAAAGCCAAACATGCACTCTTGCATGCAATCACATCTCCATTTTGATCTAAAACTTGAAGCTCTTGAGGGCACACATCATTAACACTTCCTTTGCATCCTTGTATTAAGCACTTAGGGTTTTTTGGCCTTGTGGATACTGATACAGGTAAGTTATAGCCATCAACAAGACTAACATCATAAAAGCTAGGTTTGCTTATTTCTTCTTGAATTGAAACCTACAAGAGTCAAATGAAAATATGAGAAAAGAGACATCATCATCATCATCATTATTAGTTTCATCCCTATTACTTGAGAATATATTTGACTCATCACTTCTCATTATTTATAAAATCATTATTAATAGGTCCAACCTTGAATGTGAAATATTGAGGTTAAAGTTAGTCTGGCAATACTGCATAAATTTAAGATAGAATTTATAAAATAAAATAATTCGTCTTACTAACACAAACACAAGAAGTTTGTGCTCATACACAAGACCGACATCATAGAGGCAAAAGAATGTATGTGTTGCTTGTTTTTTTTTTCTTTCTTTACTACGCGGTCGGCAGATGGTAGAGTCCCTCGAATCTTCTAATTCAATTTCTCTCCTTTCAGTCGAGCTATTATATCTATGTCAATGAAAAAAAACTAAAAAATAAATTCTTAACAAATTGGACCCTGAAGGAATAAGAAATGGACAGCTTAGGCCAGGCATGCATGGAACTTCTACCGAGAATCAGCGTTATATCGATTACAAATCTTAGGTTCCAAGCCTATTAGTTTCAGGGTTGCTCGCCTCTAACGATTTCTTGTCGTTTTCCACTACTCAGTGTGGCCGGTCAGTTCAAAGCTCTAAGAGGGATAAAAACCTCCATATCTTACAACCATTATCAGTCTTATCATTGGAATTCGGGATCGGCTTTATTTAAAATTTCATTTATTTTAAAAATCACCAATATTATTCTTATATTTAAATGTAAAAGATTGAGATTAAGGTTAGCTTAACCATCATGCATAAATATTATGATAAAATTCATAAAGTGAATTAATATATATATTTTTTAAAAGAGAGCACGAGAGAAACGATTCATTAGCATATATTAGTTGGTTTGATGATGAATAGAGAAATTTTTCACATAAGAATATGATGACTATTTTATAATATATCAAAAAAGTACAATCTCACTATAATTATACCAAATGAAGCCTAAATACATGATATATTAGTTAATTAATAAGGCTTCGTTTGAGATAGTTTTCTTACTGCTTTCAAAAATAACTTTTTAGTATAAAAATATCTTGTTCAATAAAATTTTTAACAAAAAACAGCTTTAAAAGGCAGTCAGAAAGCAATGTCAAATGAAGCTTAAGGCTTCGTTTGCGACAGCTTTCTAGTACAAACAATAAAGCTAATTTAAGAATCAATAAGAAAGCCGTCCCAAACGAAGCATAAGAGAACTAATTACCTCTATAAGTGTGGCAGGAGGCAAACCAATTGTTCCATTGCATGATAGCAAACCTTGGCAATCACCAGTTTGGCAAGCAGGCTTTAAGATTGATGAGAAATCACATCCAGTTCTTGCCCAGAAGCGCCCATTCCATTGTGCAGGGGCTTGGATCCTCTTAGTCTCACCAGAAGGGAGCAAAAATCCACCATCAGCAATCACAGGATGGCCAACATTTGGAGCAATTGCTGGCCATATTTCAAATGGGCAATCATTTCTAATGTAAAATGACACCATATGGCCTTGGACAAGACAACCTATCATTATGTCATACAAAATTTTCACATTAATGGAAAGAATATAAGTTTGCTCAATAATCTTATAATGTAAATTTGATGAATCCATGGGTGTTTATAGGACTTGGAGTAGTATAAAGAGCTAAATTATGCTTCATATGACACAAGATTTATGATAGTTTAAGGTTTTGTTAGGGCGACTTTCTTACTGATTTTTAAAGAAGCTCTCTAGCACAAAAATTTTAACTTTTGTACTAAAAAGTTGTTTTAAGAAACAGTAAGAAAGCCGTCTTCATTTGTGACAGCCCTATTGCTTTTTTAAAAATAACTTCTAGTATAATACCACTAATTTAGAATAGCGTAATATTTGGCACCAAGTGAATCCAAATCAATTTTAATTATTGCAAAACAAATTGAATAAATTGATTAGGTATATTACACCTCAATTTTAATAAGACTTTATTTGGGACAACTTTATCATTTCTTTCTAGTACAAAAGTTTCTAATTCAAAAAATTTATGTACAAAAAAGTTAATTCTAAAAATAATAAGAAAGCTGCCTCAAACGAAGCCTAATGAAATATCATAAAAAATGATTTGATGTAAATAGATACATTAAATAAGATTCATATTTGTACTTGAGAAAAACAAGAACAAAATTGAGAGAGAGAGAGAGAGAGAGAGAGAGAGAGAGAGAGAGAGAGAGAGAGACCAAATAGAAGGGATAGCTTGATAAGACTGAGGAGAACAAAGGAAGAAGAAGAAGAGTCCATCTTTGATCTTTGGCTGTGTTTTGGCTTGGTTTTTATAAGATGGAATTCCAAAGCTACTAAAGATTTTAGATTTCTATTCTTTGAAGTTCAGATTTCCTTTATGGGGCTGAAGCAAAGGGAGGAAGGTAGCTTGTTTTATAAAGGAAGTTCAATTTCCTTTATTATTTATAATAGAATTAATTTTTAATAGTTTTAATGTATAATATCAAACTATATTAATTTTAAGATTTATAAATGTAATCATAATTTAGAAGGCAGTAATTTAAATAATTTAAGAATAATCTCTTTGTTTGCTGTTATCTTTACACTTTCTTTTTAATGAGCATGAACAAAAAAAAAACAGTAAATGCAAAATTAGCAAATAGCCAAATCACTTTAATTACCGCATTTCAATCATAATCCAATACATATTAAGGCAATTGTTAAGAACTAATTACAAATTTTCAATTGAATTATGATTGCTCGGTGTTCAATTCAGTGAAAAATATGTGAAGTTTCCTTCATTGAAACAAGACAAGCATTTCCTTTTTGCTTTTTTTTTTTTTTCAAAGAAATTGTGACCCTCTATCTGGGGAAAAAATATTGTGCGGTATGGAGACCAAATAGAATGTGCCACATCAACCGGTACCGAGTAAAAAAATGATATGGTGCATTCTAATTGGCCTCTGGACTGTTCGATATCCGCACATAATCATTCATCTTATATGGGTATCATAAAAAAAAAAAAAAAATTCATTTTTAGCTTTTCTTGAGCATAGAATTAAGTTTATTAATGCAATTGCAGTGGCAATCAAAATTAAGGCTTCAACGACAGTCGATAGGGTGATGACAACAACTATCATCATCACTAATCGATAGTCGCAATGACTAATAGTGAAAGTTATTTTTTAAAAAACAATCTAAAACCTATCAAAAATATTTTGAATATTTTTAAAAATAATTAAATTTTTTTTTCTAAAAGAAGCTAGAAAATTACAGCAACATTAAGACCTTATCAGCTACGTGGCATCAACTACATGAAATCTTTTTCTCCGTTGTAACATACTAACACTAGCGTTACCAAATCCCAAGCCATACATGCGAAAAATAATAGTTTACGTTATGCAGTCGACAAACAACATAAAACTTGTTGAATACTCAATTAAAAAACAAAAAACAAATTACATTAAATAAAGAATATTTTAAAAATTAAAAAAAAAAAAGCAACCTCAAACAAACCCTAAACTATTCCTCCCAACTATTTATATAAAATACTAATAATAATAGTGATCCTCTTAACTTTCACAAATGCAGCGAAGATCTGCGCATTCTAAGTTAAGAATGGGAATTCTCCTCTTGCCTCTGATTGCAAGGATTAGTTTTCTCCCAGTTGAGCTTTGTGATAAAAAATATGATAAGTAGCAGTGCAGCAAATACACACGACCAGAAAGCTTTTATCAGTACTATGCAGAGGCTATGGTAGAACTTGAATTGCAAGAGAGAATAGCAGTGCTTTGTTTCATAGCTTAGATTCGTGCTTCATTTGAAATGGCTTTCTTACTGCTTCTTCAAGCAGAGCTGTATAGTACAAAAATTTTAATTTTTATATTAAAAAACTATTTTAAGAAGCACTAAGAAAATCATCCCAAACGAAGCCTCAGTAATCACATTTAGGCTTCCTTTGGGACGCCTTTCTCACTGCTTTTTAAAATAAAAATTCTAGAAAGTTACTTTCAGGAGCATTAAGAAATTCGTCACAAGCGAAACCTTAGTACTGCATTATTTAGATTCATATAATTAATGATTACATTCAGTATTTGAAAAGCCTTATCCAAATCAGTGCAATGAGTAACAACAATATTTAGTAATCAAATAATCAAACTAATGCCCAGCTCATCTTAGTATGTTGGCTGGGAGCTTTGACTATCAACAAAGAGATCTTAATGATGTATGTGAATTTATCTTAATTGACCTAAAATTTCTCCAAAAAAGAACAATCAAGATAATCAAAACATAAAAAACACACAAATCGAATAAAAAGATGCATAAATTAAGCAACCAAATTCAAAAAATTGAATAATCAAATACACTCAAGATGTAACAATCTTCAAAAATTGAAAAATTTCCCTGCTATAATCTTAGTTCAATATTTGAATAACCAACATTCAACAAAAAATATAAAAAAATATTTGGGCTCTTCCTCCTCGCGAAGGGTAGAGAGAAGATTACATTAATCAATTTAAGAGGAAATGTTGGATGGTAATGGGAGGATGAAAGAATAAATATCAAATCTTAAAAGGAGTTCAGAGATTACCAAGTCTAAAAGAAAATATAGGTCAAAACGGCAGTCTTTAATGATTTTGTTCTTTATTGTTTATTTGGATAAAGTCAGTAACAATGTTCTCATCATATCATTTAACAAACCTCCATATCTCAAAACTGTTAACAGCTGCATGCCCAAAGAAGGACAGGAGCAGATCAACCCTCCGAAGTATGCTAACTTTAGGTTAGCCGAATTAAGATTTAGGTTTCGTTTGGGACGACTTTTTTACTGCTTCGTAAAACAGCTTTGTAGTACAAAAGTTCAATTTTTGTACTAAAAAGCTACTTTAAGAAGCAGTAAGAAAGCAATTCCAAACGAAGCCTTAGTTTGAAACAACTTTCTTATTGCTTTCTAAAATAAATTTTCAATACAAAAATTTCTACTTTAAAAAATTTTTGTACTAAAAAATTATTTCAGAAAATAGTAAGAAAGTTATTCCAAACGAAGCCTAAATCAACTTGCAAATAAAAACTTTAACCCCTGAATTTGAAACAGATTAGCTCATGGAAATGAGAACACAACATGATATGATTGCTGAAGGCTTGCTTGCAAATCATGAGTCCTTCATCGTAGAAACATTGCCTGATTGCATCTCTTGAATCCTCGATAGCTGATGCAATGGGAGAAAATATGGCACAGCTGCAGCCAATAACAAACACAGCAGAGCTGCAAGACCAACCCACCAAGCTCTATGTGGGATTCCAACAAACAACTCCTCGCAAACTGGAAAATTTTCAAAAATACAGCATGTATCAAAGACAGATTATAAGATCGTAAGCAAATCTTTATTTCATGCTATTTACATATCTAACACCCAAAACATTAATATTACATGTCTACCACTCATATACAACTTTAATATCAAATATACCACTCCTAAAATTCATTTCTATCATTCATGCCATCCTATAAATTTTAATATTTCATTCCATGCACCTAAATTTGTTTAATGGGTGGTAGTCATGTAATATTAATATTTTAAATATTAGATATGTAAATAGCATGAAATAAAGTGGTATGTATGTAAATCTCCCATAAACTTTATATAGCAGAATAACTTCAAAAGGTAAAACATTAGGTGGCGTTGACCCCAGAAGCCTAGGTGACTCATGTAGCTCTTTAGTGATTTGATAATACTAAAATTTATATAGTGTTATCTAATTGCTAATTACTTCTATAACTAATTCAATATTGCAGCAAACATGATGATGAAGATGATGGTGTCCACTAAACTGGTTTGAAGGTTGGCCATTTGCAGGATAGGCTCAAGATGTCTAATTCAAAAAAATTAAAGCGAAGTTCCAAAGTCAATTTAGCTTAGACTTCGTTTGAGATGACTTTTTTATTGCTTCTTGAAGCAGCTTTATAATACAAAAATTAAGAAGCAATAAAATAGCTGTCCCAAACGAAACCTTACTGTGAGTTTTAGGGGGGATTCACATACATACTACTATATACTACTCTATTTACAAATCTAACGCCTAAAACTTTAATATTGTATATATATCACTCATAGTTAACTTTCATATCAAATATAGATGATATGAATGAAATATATGATTTGTGGGAATGAAATATATGGTTGGTGGGAATGAAATATGGGTGGCATATTTGATATTAAAATAATATAAGGTGGTATATATGTAATATTAAAATTTTAGGTGTTAGATATGTAAATAGAATAGTATAAAATGGTATGTATGTAAATCCCTCTATTATTAAATTGATTGAGTTGATATTTACCAATGGTATCAACAGTGATCAACAAAATAATAAAATTAATTAGGATTATTTAAAATATAAAGTAAATTTTAGCAAAAAAATCATAAGTAAATTAATCAAATGTTAACATTGATATCATTCAACATATCAAATTAGTTATGTGCCAAACAGAATCATCGTTAAAGGCAAAATGGATTTTGTTCTGTAACTCTTCAAATGATCTATATGGGAAAACTTCTCATGGCCGATTTCAACCATCAATATAGATTGGCATAAAATCATCCGCTATTATTAAATCAATATCAATAAATAATATCAAACTTGAAACTTGGGGATTGGTCAAGCAATAGGACTGAACAAACTAATGAATGTTAAATTCAAATCAGTCAAATGTTAACATTTGCTCATGGCGAATGAGTGGCAAACTAATTGCCCTCTCTTCAAAGAAGGTTTGCAGGGAACAGGTCTAGACTTTATTAAGCACTTACATTACATCAAGCTAGATCACCATTTACTTATTGCGCTAGTTGAACATTTGTTTTATCAAGCCAACACATTGCATTTACTTACAGGCGGGATGACCATCATATTGCATGGTGTAGGTATTATACTAGGCATTTATGTCGATGGTCCACCATTAGTTAATCATAATTTGGTTATATTGGCAAAAGATGGCATTGATAGGAAATACTTGAGTTTGCAAGTAATCCTAAGGGAAATACATGAGTTCGCAAGCAAATCAAGCAGTGATTGGTGAAAAAACAGCAAGAAAATTGCTGATTACAGCAGAAAACAGCAACGGTACAGCAACTTTCTTGAAAAATATGGAGAAAACTGAGAGAAAAACGAAGAATTCCACTAGCCGATGCAGGAAAACAACAAACGATACAAGTTTCTTTAATTCGAGAGGAAGAAACAACTCCCCAAATCTCTAACGAAGCCTAGAGCCCAAAGAAACAAACCCTAGATTTCAAATTTGATTTCAAACTCAAGATGAAAACGCTAATTCTCTCAAAGGAACTAATTAAAATAAAGAGGACAAATACAAAATCCCTAAACAGCCCCTAATTCAAATTTTTCCTCCCAAAGCAAGTTTAATTAAGTTGTGGGCCCCATCCCTCCAACCGGCCCCTCTCTCTCTTCCCCTTGGTTCCGCCCCCTCCTCTTGTAGCAAAGAACCGGTCCAGGTTGGACCGGTTTAGCTGGCCTAGGGCAGGCCTAACACCTTTCTGATGACTTATTTGGTGTGCTACCATCATCTAGATAATCAGAAGATGTCATCCAATTTTATAACGAGCAAAGCCAAAGCACGGGCATACATGCTCTGAGGTGACTTGGATGAAACTAGATATGTTTCAAGTTGGATTACAGAGATCACATTTAGTATACATGTTAGGACATACATATTACTAATATTGGACCTTTTTACATACATGATACTTCTGGTTCGGAGATACATCTTCAGCATTTACCGCTATTAGAGAACTTATGGGCATTCTTGCATAATTACATTAGAGCTGTGGTTTCGAGCAATATTTATAGGTGCTTCAACGAGGCTATTAAGCCAAGGCGGGTCAACATGACAAGTTACTTGCACCTACTATAGCTTTGGTAGTAGGCGTGACTACATGCCAATAGGCCAACCTCACATCTACCATATCGTAGAGATCTCAATGGAAAACATTCAGGAAATAGGAATGAATTGCTCAATTTCCTTAAATGCTTGTTTATTTTTGTTGTTTTAATATGTTGGAAATAAATTGTACAAACTTCTCATAGTAGAATGAGCACCATATACATGAACAACCAATCAAGAATGTCAGGTTGTACAGAGATGAAATTGATGAGCTTCTACAAAGCCAAGTAAGCAAACACATTTGTTAACTTATATGCCAATTATGTTACAACCCATGTAAAGAAACAATCTTTTGTTTTAATTGATTTGGCCAGTTACATGGGAGCCATATGAACATTAGATATGGCTATGAAGTGTGAAGATGTGTACTTAGGATAAAACATTTAGGAAGATTGAGTACCACACATCAACTGGCGCCATGTTGAGTGGCATTTATCAAAGTGTGTAACACATCAATTTGGAGTGCTACAGATTGTTTTGAAGCCACTGGAATCTAGTTTCCAACGAGTGGAAGGTCTGATGTTGATTATGTGAGACAAATGATTAGAAATGAAGGTGAAGGTTAACTTAAGATGCAAATTTGTGATCTGGAGTTGATGATAGAGTTTAGTTGAGTTTAAAAAGATGTCGAAATGCATAGAATAAGATTAGGCCCAAATGTTCCCTCATTGGGCTGATGGCTATGTGACCATGTTTAGAATAGATTTGGAATTTTGATTGATGTTTTTATTGGTCTTAGAGCTTATCAAGTGGAGAAGAGTTGTGGAGCGTTTAAAGTGGTTGTTTAAGAAGCTTTATGAATAATATAAAAGAAATAAATATAATCACCAAATCTCAAAAAGAGAAAAAAAAAACACTTGAGACTACCAAGCACCAAGCAAATGAATAGCACTTCTTCACAAAATTATTTCATTCCAAAAACTGAAAATTCAAATACATATCAGCCTATATTTTTAGGCATTACATTATTAACTTTTGGAGAGAAAAAATAGAGGGAATGACAGGGTTGGTGGACATTAAAGAGGAATTCCAACCACTCATTTTTTCAATGCCTCATCTATACCTAATCCTATCATAGCTGGCCATACAAGTTTCTATATATAAAATAAAATACAAATTACATTTAAAATATGTCATCCATTCGCGAGTAACCTATGTATAGCTCGCTATTACAATGATACATTCCATCCTAAAGAGGTTAACTTGCATTCTTCTTTCAATAATAACAAAGCTTAAACCTATAGATATAGAAAATCTCAAGTTGAGACACGTGCAACCATAAACAAGGACTGATGATCTGCCATGTCATATGTATTTCAGTAGACTTTCTCTTAAAAAGTAGGTGGCATCAGCACAAATCAACAATATCAATGTAAGAATTTATATAAAAAACTCTATTCGGTAAACATAGTAACATGTAGCATCTTCCTTCAAAATAATAGGACTTACTGATATTAAACAGGACAAGCTTATTTTTCTGCACATTTGGCTTTGCAACAATCCCAGCAGATTCCACAGTTACCAGAACAAATGCCTCATTCTCACCTGAACTCTATAACAAAAGAAAGACATATGGAGAGAATTAATAACATAAATTCAATGCGCCAATTATGTAAATTCAGAAGACTAACCAATTTCTTGCTGTCAAACTTGAAAATTATTTTTTCTGTATTTAGTAGTCTTCTACTTGTCCTTATTTGCAGCTCAGCTAAATTTTTCTTCAAATCAAGGAAAAAACTAGCAGGTATCTGCATTAGAAAAAAAGTAATAAAATCACTTGAATGCTACAAAACTTGGGTATAAACAAGCTCCTCAGAGATAAAAAAACATACAGAAGCGGGATATGATATCTTGACTTCATACCAAGAAGATTCTTTGAGACCAATGATTTTGTAAAAACGTTGACCCATCTCTAATGGAAGAGTCTCTCCTTGAAGCTCCTCAGCAACATTCAACACCTTGAAACCTACACTGCAATTTGCAAGAAAGGAGAAAGATGGACACCATTGTTTGAAGAACTGTCAGATTGCATATTTCTTTTTGCAGAATACTTACTCTTGTATATGAGTAAGAGATAGATCCGAATCAGGAAGGGAGAAAGTGGTAACTATGAAGCTCTGAAGGAATGCAAGCAAGCACCATCGTATATAAGCCATTGTGTGGGGATCACTGTTAGAAGATACACAAGCTACTTCGCCGATTAAAGAAGATGAATCTAACACATTTTATCTCAATCAACTGGGAAAATAGTTCACAGCATCAGCCTTCTTTCTCTACAGAAAATGGAGAATTAAGCTAAGAAAGCACATCAATCAAACTTAAAAGAGAAAAAATGGTCCACGGACTATTTTTATAGAGCCATGTTAATCCCATCTAGCTAATGTATTCAATTAAGTCCCTTGACTCCACCAATAAAAATTATCACATTATTAGATTATTTTGAATTTAGATTTGGGGGTTTAATGGACTATTTTGAATAAAAATAGAAAGTCAATGGAGAAAATTGGACACATTAAAAAGGTTGTGACTAAAATAACCCCCCATAAATAGTCGGAGGATTATGCTGACCTTTTTCTCAAACCTAAAAATGAATAATCTTCATATGCACTCAATATATAGAGTAGAATATAGAAGGAGAACTTATGGATGGCAATCATGCGTTAAAAACTAATGAAAATATGAATTATCTTAAATAATGAAATGAAACAATTTGAAAGAGAACCAAAATTGTAGGTGTGAGTGTGTGACAAAGTAAATAACAATTGAACTAGAGCGACTTACACTGTAGCTACAGTACTATAGTGCTGGTGATGCGGACATCCAACCGTCCATGCCTATCCGAGGAGCTGAAGATCGACGACCGAGATCACTTTGTTTTATTTTAGTTTATTAAGTGTATTTTGATTTAATTTTGCAATTTTCCTTTTTTACCCTCTTGTCTTATGTAAGCCCAAGGGGCAAATGTGTCTTTTATTTTCTTTTGAGGCCTATATATAGAGGCCTCTTCTCATGTATTAGGTATGATGAATTATTGAATGAAAAGAGTTTGTTCTTGTTTGATCTCTTAGTGAGTTCATGAGAGGAGAAGCCCGAGGAGGGCGATTTGCAATACCCGTCAATCTTTGGAAGAGTCCAAGGTTCGCGGTTCTTACGATCTCTTTGTGAGTTCGTTAGTGTACTTTTATCTTATTTGTATTTTTTGTTCATCTCCTTTCTCCCCTTCTCCATCCACCACCGGCCATCCCCTTTCCCCCCAAGTCCTCCTTAGCTCCACCACCTCAAGCTCCCACCGACAACCCAAGCCCTTCCCCTTCCCCTCACCCGACGCCATCTCCTCCTTCCCATTTGCCGCCGGCCCCCCTCATAATTTTCCCCTCATTATGTTGATTTCAATCACCATAATGACTTCCTAATTTAGCTCAAGCGTGAGAGGGAAAATTTGAATTCTTTTGAAATTCAAATTCGAATTTCAAATTCTTTCCATATAGGGAATCCCAATTTAGGAAAGTATCAATCATGAATTCAATTTCAAAATAAATTAAATTGGATTTATTATTCACTTTCCTCAATTTGAAATTTGAAATTCAAATTTCAAAAACTTTACTTATTTGCAAATCTTAATTAAGAAAGTGTATAACTCCAAGTCTATTTGAATTTCAAATTAGATTTGAGTTGTCATTCTCATTCCTAAATGACATAAATTGATTTGGAAGTTACAAATCCTCTCCCTAAATCCTTCCCTCTCTCTCTCTCTCTATGGCCGCCCATTACTCCTCCCCTTAATTAGGAGCTTAACTCATGGCTCCAAACAAGGGTCCATTAATTCCCACTTTAATTTGAATTCAAAATTCAAATTAAATCCCGCCAAATCCACTTAAAATCTGAAATTAATTTCAGATTTTTTATTAATTTTCCTCTCTCTCTCCGCTTTCATTTAATGCTCCCAATTAATGACAATTCAAATTCAAAATTTGAATTTGAATTAGCATTAATTTACTCCTTAATTTCCTCTCCCCATCTCTCTCCTTTTTTTAATTGCCACTCTAATGGTAATTAACTCTCCCTCCCTCACTTCCGCATGCTGTCCCTTCCTGTTCCAGCAACTTTCATCGCTGTCCTACCTCCCGGAAAGCCACAAGTTGCTGCCCAAAGTGTCCAGCAGCACCACGAGCAAGCCAAATCCTTGCTGACCCTGATTGGGTGCTGTCCAAGGTCTGTCCAAGACCAAAAACTGCTGCTGTCCAGGAATTTGAAGATAGGAATTTGCTGTCCAGACAATCCCGATTGCTGTCCAGCATTCTGGGAAGTCAAAACTGATGTCAAATCCCTCATAGTGGCTATCCAGTCACCCCTAGTGCTGTCCAGCAAGCCCAGCAGTTTCCTGCTGTTATCTCGACGTCCAGAAGACCTCCAATCTCCAACCAGAAGGTTCCCAAGCCTTGAAAGTTGCTGCCCACTCTCTCAAGCACCTAGACGATCACCTCGGGGCCTCGAATCTACTTCCTTTGGGTAAACTCTTCCTCCGGATCTTTTATCTTTGTAGTGACTCTCAATTGTGGTCTAGTAAATTCATGACGATCATGTTAATGCTTCTCCGCTAAAACCTAGCAATTAGAAGAGTTGTGTGAGGGATCTTTCATAGACTAATCTTATTGTTAGTATTGGAATTTATTGTTGGAACAATCCATGTATGCAAAGTAAGATTTATTTGACTATTTAATGATCTCAACCTCTATGCATGTGAGATAAAAACCTAAGCTAGGTACCACTTTAATATTTATTTTATCGTTCAATTCCGCATAAGATCTTGCTTGTTATTGTCTCTAAATCTAAACGTGCAAACTTCATTAAGAAAATCATTTTCGCATGGGAGTTTGTGTCACATCAGCTGGGCTATAAACATGTTCCAGTCTTCAATCGTCTACATACAGTTCCCATCATGAATTTATACCGTAGTAAAGTTTGAACACATTCCTCCCCAACTTATTAGTCATCATCCATGCCATAAGTCATATATAAACTATTTGAGGTTGGCCTATGAATTATTCATCTCTATTTATTCCAAATTCTAAATAATTATATTAAATGTTGACTTGATTTTCTGTAAGTGTTAGATAGGACTTGATGATCAAAACAACACACAATAATATAAAAAACAAAAAATTACTCCAAATAAATTCAGAAATAACACAAAGAGAGTTGTTTTTACTAATTTCCAAGCAAAGATATAAGTTGATTCACTGTTCAAGAGGCGAATCATCTCTCCCAGAATTCCTAGCAGCTACTAGGAATCCAAACACCTTGTAAAAACTACTGCAGAAATTCAAAAACATTATGTAAAAATCCTAACCATCCATAATCTCATCCCATAAACAGCTCAAATCCCCTAATAAACGTCCCTTACATCTTTACCAAAGAGTTCCCCCCTTTCTCAAAGAGTTTCTCCCAAAGCCTCTTCTCATATATAGGTGATAAAGGAGGTCTTGGGCCACACCTGAGAAATTGGACTGTTGCTGACAACTGCATCAATACTCTCCTCCTAAAAAGTCACATTATCCTGAAGGTGGAAAAAAGAAAATTGCTTCTAAATAGTATTGTAGGGCTCCGATGTCGCCTCATATTCTGGTAAATCTTTCCACTTAATCAACACCTCCTTGATCTCCTTGTCTCCTTGGAGCACCCCTTTCACCTCTAATGGTTCTAATATCATCTCTATATCCTATGACAGTGTGGTCGGTAGTGAGGGCGAGGGTGTGTGATTTTCAATGGCTAGTCTCAAATACGATACATGAAATACAGGATGGATGGATGAGGTCGTTGGCAATCGTAGACAATATGCTAGAGCCAATGCACTCCACTACCTCATAGGGCCCGCTTCTCATTCCTTTGTTAAGCCAAAGTCTGATGTCTATAAGGTTTTTCAAATAAACCATATCCCCAACCTTAAACTGTACATCTCTCATGTGTCCATCCGCTTGCTTCTTCATGATTAGTTGTGCTCTCTATAGATGTTCATTCAATTCTATCAAAATCCGATCTCTTTCTCTCAAGTATTGCTCCACTGATGACACTGATGTGATGTCATTCATGCCCATAATGTATCAGATGAGGTAGATCCCTACCATATAGAATATTAAATGACGTTGTCTGGGCTGCTGTATGATATGAAATGTTATATCAGTATTCCGCCCAGGCTAACCATTTGGCCCACATCTTTAGTGTGTCTAATACATAAAACCGAAGATAAGTCTCCACACAGCGATTCACCGCCTCCGTCTGGGGGTGGTAAGTTGTACTCATCTTCAGGATAGTCCCATGCATCTTGAATAATTCTCTCCATAAGTGGTTTAAAAAGATCTTTGTCCCGATTGGACACAATGGCCTTGGGTATGCCATGCAAACGAACCACCTCTCTAATAAATGTGGTTGCCATCGACACCACAGTGTAAGGGTGGTGTAAGGAAACGAAATGAGCAAATTTGCTCAATCTGTTCACCACTATTAGAATCACCATAAACAGTAAACGAAAGAGATGCACTTTGTCAAAATTTCGTATAAGATAAAACTTAGCATGCCATTTTTTTTAACCAACTAAGAAATGGAGATGCGTTTGATCTGCTCATGCATGAAGTTTAATCAATAATTTTCATCCACCACAAGAGATCTATTGATTTCAATGCTAAGTAAAGAAACATGCCTCTACAAGGAGTTAAGGAAAAGGACAAAGAAGAAGGGGAAAGAAGAGGAAGAAGAAGAATAAGAAGGAGGATGAAGAGAAATAAATAGAAGAAGAAGGGGAGGAAGAAGAGAAATAGAAAAAGAAGAAGGAGAAGAAAACGAGGAGGAGGAAGAGAAAGAAATAAAAGAAGGGGAGGAAGAGAAAGACATAGAAGAAGGAGGAAGAGGAGAAAATCAGTAAGGAAGAAGAAAAAGAAGAAGAAGAAGGAGAAGGAGAAGAAGAAGAAGAAGGAGAAGAAGTTACCTTCACGGGTGAATGGGGGTCGACGGGAGAGGAAGAGAGGGATCCTTCGGCTGGAGCTTCCTAGGGCGTGCGAACAGAGGCGTCGGAGGGGAGGGCTTTTGCTCTGTTCGAACCAGTGAGAGACGGAGGCAAGGAACGGGGGCGTTCGGCTGCGGATTTTTTCACGTAAGACGGGAAGAAACGGTAGGGACCGGAGGAAAAAGAGAAATCCCCAAGAGCGGCCCGGCAGTTGGCTCAATTAAGCTGTATTGAGTCCGGATTGAGCCAGATTTTAGTCAATTAGGTTAGATTATGTTAATTTGATGAAATTAAATTCAAATCGACATCTGTTCGACTCAAATTGAGCTCAACGAGAGTCTGGGGCATCAATCGAGCTTAATTAAACTTTGACGAGCCTAATTTGATTAGATTCGAGTCAACTCAAATCTAAATTGGGCTCGACGAGTCTCAATTAAGTCGATCAATGATGCTCGAGTGAAAAAATGAGCAAAAACGAGGTCAACAATGAGAAATCTGAGCTGTAGATTCTTATTAAAATTTTACTCATCACACAAGAAGATGCCTGGAATAGTTAGTCTAACTCTGTATTTACATAATCTAGTAAACTTTTATTCCGTTATGCAATGGGATTTGGTAAGTTATTTTCATGTTCTCTTAAAAGCCTAGCATTACAAAATCCTACCAATTGAAAGGCTTTAGCCTCTACAATTATTGACCATATTCTTTGAATTAAAATGGGGCTCGACTCAAGGGCGGAACCCTATGGAACTTAGGGGGGGCAATTGCCCCCCCTCAAAAAATAATTTTTTAACTTAAAGGAGGGTAAAAAATTCATTTTGCCCCTCCTAAAAAATCAATTTTGCCCCCTAAAAAGCTTTTTTGCCCCTACTTGTCATTGCTTGATTCATCTCAACCATCCATTGCATTTTTTGCTTTATCTTCTCCCAATGTATCCATATTCTCTATTTTTTAATTACTATGACAATAGGTAGTAATGAATGCTCATTTTTCTATGCAATAACTTTAGGTTAGAAATAACTTTTGAAAGTGAGTTAATTAGTGCACATATGAATATCAATTATATATATTTGTTTAATATTCTTGCAATATTTTTTATTTATTTTTTTGTGGCTGAAAATATGGTGATGATTTTGATAGACATTTAGTTTGCATTTTGGAAGCTAAAAATTTTTTTTAGATCAAATATAAAGCTAAAAAAATTTAAAACAACCTTTCATAATATTATATATAATATTTTTAATATTTAATTATTTAATTTTTTATTTAATTATTTTTATATTAAAATTGCCCCCCCCCTCAAAATTGGAGCTAGTTCCGCCCCTCGCTCGACTTACTTACACCCCTAAATTGGAATGTCATAGGCCTATCAACTTCAGTTTGATTTGTCCTCATACTACATATCATATTTTAGCTCTAATTTCAAATATGAAGGTTCAAAATAGTCTGTAAAATAAGGGTGCCAATTAATAATATGACATGATAATCTGACAGCTGACCTGGAAAATTCAAGTTTGGGTCAACCCATTTAACAAACATGTCAAGTTTGGGTCTTAAATTTCCACCCGTTTAAAATTGGGTCATTTTCAGGCAACCCGCTGACTCAGAAAAAACCTGAGTTCGACCTATTTCCCCATCAAGTAGTTTATAATAAAATAAATAAATAAATAAAATGCTAAGACTAATTCATTAACCAATTCAGGTTGTAATCCGTTCCATAATTTTTAAAGCTAGGGTTTGTTCTCCGTGGCAGAAGTGTGACACTTTTGGCATCTGGCTTCCCTTTCCCTCAGTTCTTTTCGTTGCTAAGCAATAGATGAGGTGTCTGTCGTGAGACAAGCATACAGCTCTCTGATTGCAAGTTATGTCCTCCCTTCTACACCTTCATTCTTCTTAGCATTTCTCTAATTAACATTTCTCCAATTTAGGTAAAATGATAAATGTGTAAATTAACACATCTCACTCTTTGATTTTGAGCTAATCGTTTAATTTTGCATTTTCATTTTTGACTTGGATTCTTTGAGCAATGAAATTTTTTTCAGGTTTGGCCATTTAGGATGTGAAACCCTACTAACATTTATTTTTAATTTAGTGTGAAATGTGCTGGTTGTTAGTTTGTTAGCCTATTACTCTTATGCTCTAGTGTTATAAAAGAAAGGAGATTGGTGGGATCGGGATGATTATTTTGGGTTAGGATTGTGAAACCCTAATCCTTTGACGCCCCTTTCTAATTTTGGTTAGGTTGTGACTTCGGCTATTGTAATTGGATCTTAATGTTGAGACTTAAGTTGTTGTTGAAGCCTCGTTTTGTAATGCTTCAATCATTAGGCTTCAATCATTATGATGTAATACTTTAATTTTGTAATGCTTCAATCATTAGGCTTCAAGTTATAAAAATTAATTGGTATGCTGAAATACCATACTATTAAAATGCTTTACTACTTTAGCATCTATAGCAAAGTAATTGAATAGCTGAAATTATTGAAATTGTATGATGAAAATTTAATTGCTATGATGTATTGCTGAAATTTATTTTAGTATGCATTTCTATAACTCTCTACTTAGTCAATGCTTGTGAGTTTAAGTATGAGAAATTTGCAATTGGTATTGTGGGTTTTAAGTATGAAAGAAATGTATTTATGTATAGATGAAGAATTCTAATACCATTATTGTAAGTACTCTTATTGAGCATAATGAGCCATTATCTACTGATAATGATAATGACATTCATAGCGATGAATTTAGTTGCATCTTTGCAAGGAAAATTAGAGACATGAAAATACATGGGGGAAGAGTTGAAATGAAAAGAATAATTATGACTTTTATTATATGGGAAAAAATTGAGATGTTGCTACTTAGAAATGATGGCAGACAACATTTCAAATGTATAAAATGTGGGTCAGTTAATCAATGTGAATATGTGATAGTAAAAATGGTACTGATGTCACGTACAAAATTATAAAAAAGGGGATGCATGAGACATATGACAACTTATTTTGCAGAGTAATTTCAGCACTTTTATTTTATGGTTGAAAACAAGTTTTATCATCGAGAGAGTTTCGTAACTTGTTTACTAATTGCATCATCATGCATGATCTTCATTTTCAATGCGTGGAATGGGTTGGTATTAGAGCACTTCTTCATTACTTGCGGACATATTTATAACTTTTTCTATAAACACTGCATGAAATGATTGTAAGAAAATATTTTACACAAAAAAGGGCACATTCAAGTTATACTATCTAGCTATAAAAGTAAAGTTTATTTAACTTCAAATTTATGGACTTCTATCGATACATATAGTTTTATTTGTTTAACAACATATTTTATTGATAATAATTGATGATTGCAAAAAAAGACAACAAATTTTAGTTTTATGCCACCCAAACCCCCCATGATGGCATAACTTTGTTTAAAAAACTATTTCAACAAATTTAAGTTTACTGGAAAATTGAAGGAAAACTCCTCAGTGTTACTTAAGATAATGCTTTTGCAAATATTGTCTCGGTCGATTTCCTAAGCGATCATTTGAATTTGACATGCATCCTACTATTTAATGTTGAATTCTTTCATGTTAGATATTGTGAATGTATTGTTGATCATATTGTTCAGGAGAGTTTGGAGCAAATAAATTGTTCCATCTTAAAGGTGATTTAGAGCATCAAATATGCTAAAGGTTCTCAAGCAAGAAAATAGAAATTCTTTGAATATGTAGATAAAGTTTTCTTGATGGTAAGAGAGGGTTGAGACAAGATGTACCTACAAGATGGAATTCAATCTTTATTATGCTTGATAGTGCAATTTATTATAGATGCACTTTCTTGCATTTAGAGTTGGGTGATTCTAAATAAAAGTGTTGCCCTTCAAGCATTGAATGGGATGAGATGGTAAAACATTTCAAATTCTTAGCACCTTTCTATGAGATCAATTGTGTCTTCTCTTAAACCAAATTTCCAACTACAAATTTACATTTTCCTTATATCTATACTACTTATGCAACTTTAAGACATTAAATGATAAGCAAGCAAGATTATATAAGATAAGCGAGCAAGAAAGCTTGGTTGTCGGCAGGGTTTCACATCCCAAATGGCCAAACCTAAAAAAAAAAATCATCACTACAAGAATCCAAGTCTAAAATTGAAATGTCAAATTGAATGATTATCTCAAAATAAAAGAATAGGATGGCTTAACTTACATATTTATCATTTTACCTAAATAGTAGAAATGTCGATTAGAGAAATATCAAAAAGAATGAAGAAGAAGAAGGCAGGAGGGAACTTGCAATCGGAGAGCCATCCCATGGCGGATGCCTCATCTATTTCTTAAAAATGGAGAGAACTTAGGCAAAGGAAGCATATGCCATAAGTGTCACATTTCTGCTACAAAGAAGAAATCCTAACGTTATAAAATATGGAACGAACTTACAACCTGAATCAATTAGCGACTTAATCTTATCATTTAATTATTATTATTATTATTTTATTATGAAATTGTGGGATGGGGATGCAGATCGGTCTTGGGTTGTTTTTGGTTAACGGGCTAACTCAGAGATGACCTTGTTGCGTCCTTGAATATTCGCGGTGATAGAGAAATATATAGTTTAACGTCATAGCGTTATACAAAGATCCAGCACACAAGCAGATGAAAGAGATACCGTAGCATTCATAAGAGACACCATAGTTTTTTTACGTGAAAACCCCCTAAATGGGGGAAAACCACAGGGTTTGGCCCAGTTTGAATGAATCCGCTAGTATTTGTAGTTGATAACAAATGAGGCCCTTCCTTGTGAGAAGGCCTTGGCTTGATGCCACAAATGTACGTTATAAAGAGCTCATTACATGGTGGGAGTTATAATAATCAATATATACATGTTTTTTTGGTTAGCAGGATCATAGTCAATAGGATATAGGTCAAAAAGATCATAGTAGGCGTCGGAGGTCAGAAGGATCGTAGTCGGCAAGAGACATGGGTCAGAAAGACCATTTTTGGAGAGGGAGGTCGGAAGCACCGTAGTCAGCAGAAGACCAATGTCAGAAAGACATTTTTCTGGCAATGGAGGTCAGAAGGACTGTAGTAGGTGACGGAGGTCTGAAGGATTGTAGTTGGCAGGAAACTAGGGTTAGAAAGACCTTAGTAGTATGGTGTTACTCTAATATAACTCTAGGCCTCAATTGGTGGTCCGGCAGAAGT